CTTTCCCTAAAACAACAAAATTGCTTTGTTATCTTTTTTTGCTCAACCGTGCAAAGAAAGACCAAGAAATACGAGGTTGATCGCCTTTTTTCTGTATGATTATAGAATTATTAGGTATATTGGATTTAAGATGAGAACTCTTATATTGTTAGGTGTGAGGTATTTTCTTTTTACACTATCATTGAATACGTATTATTAGTTATACGGTTATTATCTTTTTTGTTATCTATACGTTAGTGGTTATTAGGATTTAAAATATTAAATTTCTTAATGAATTATATGAGGAAGGTGAACCATACAGTTTACATGGAACATTGAATTATATGTTCAACGTACACTATAACGACATTGTTCACATATGTAGAAGAATCATTCCTAAACTTATCAGAGGCGTAGCCTCTAAATCAAGAAAAGTTTCCATTTCTTCCTTTTAAAAATGGAAACCCATGAAGATTCCTCACATTTATTGAGATATTTCATATTTGTTGAGCTTTTGTACTGGACTAATAAGATCATAAATTCAAAATAAGAAAAAGAATTGTTACACTCCACAAAGCACTATTTGTTCCATCCGTGGGAACAAGATTGTATATATAGTATTGCTTCTGAAAATTGTGGGCAAGGATTAAGAAAATCAAAACTCAAAAGGCGAACAACCGAGCTAAGAAAAAAAAAATACAAATTGAATAAAATTGAATGAAGGACAAAATCTGAACATCCATCTTAATGATGAAGTATGGTGGCGTTCTGGTAAAACAGGCATTACCAAGCATCATTAGCAACCTAACATTATTTGTCAAAAAATCTCTCTTCTGCATATTGAAGCATGTCTGTGATTTCTACTTGACAGGAGCAGGAGGTGGAGCACTTCCTCCAGTAGTTGGCCTGAAACATCAAACAGCAAAATGACTAAACACGAGAAAAACATGTGATAGAAACTAATGACATTATGTGGCATAGTGCAGCATGGAGCAACTGAGATAATAGGAGCTACTTACAGCCCTACAAATACTTTAAATGAATCATAGAGTCCCCACTGGGCTCCAGTTAGTGTTCCAATCATAACTATACGAAGAGGAAGGCCACGAGTGAAAAGTCCCACTACCCCAATATTCTTCACAGCCTGTGAATCCAACAACAGTTAGAAGACAATTAAGCATTACTACATCGCAAACAACGTGGTGTTGTGGTGAGTTAGTGGTGTGTGCTTGTTCCTATAAGAATCAACTCACATCACCGACAGTGGCTCCCTTGGCATTGTTGAGAAAAGAAACGAGGTTGTCAGCAGGGTGTGAGACAATTGCACACAGCACACCTGCCACATATCCAGCTGCAAAACTCACTCCAAGCTGCAAATTTTTGCTGCACTTCTCCTTAGGGGATGGGATCGCATATTTGTAGATCATCTCCACAACAGTCTCAAAGGAAGCGAATTTCATCATCGTGTCTGACCACCATACAAAAGTGTAAAGGGGAACATCACATAATAAAAAGAAATGACACAATCAAACTTCAATAGCATAATGCAAGCATGAAATTTTGCATCCCAGATACAAAAGTGTAATGTGTATGCGTGGACACAATAAAATACAAACATGATCAAGAAAAATATTAGTTGACAGTTATTTTTATCCATAAGAATCAAGCTTAGGCATTCAGTGAAAAAATCAAATGAAAGCTAAGGTGACACAAATATGGGATTGTTCAAACTTACATGGAATTTGACGGCCCCAAAGAGGAACGAGTCCTTTATATAACCTGGATATCAAATCAAATTCAGATCATATTTGAACATTCCAAAAATATAAAGCTACTGATATATATCAGCTATGTTGCACACATACGATTTGATATGTTCGATACTGTGATACAATTATTTTAAAAATTTATAATATATGCAAGACACATCTTTAGATATGTATATAAATTTATAAAGCATAACAAACATATAATTACAGTTATCCACATCTAAATTAAGATCATACTGCTTAGAAATCACTAAAAAATATAAATCATTTTGTCATTATAAGTCGCTTCTTATTATCTGGAAATAAAAATAATCTCAATCTCATTCTTCTTTTCATATATATTCTAAAGAGGACAATTTTCATTTTGGTTCAACAAGAGCAAGCATGTATAGGTGTATAAGTGAAATATGGTCCAAGACTAGAGTATTAGAATCAAATACAAATGTAAGTACGAGTGCTTGATAAGCATAAACAAAAGAATAGAGAGAATTAAAGAGCAAAAATCATATATACCCAGAAGCACCCTCAGCCTTGATAAACTTGGGTAAGCCATCCGACAAACCTCGAGCAAAGCCAGGCTGAGTTTGTACACGAACTTTGACAGCCTCCATGGGGCAAAGGGCAATATCAGCAATCACTTCTGCTGAAGCAGAACCGGCTAAATATATGATCGTTTTGTACTTCACTGCATTCTCGGGTCCTGCAAGGTCTGAGTAATACTTCTTGAAGAACTCATAAAACCCAAACTTGCATGCTCCTTGAGCACTGTACCCTAGCAGTGTAGGCACCCATCCCCTGAAGAAACCTTTAGCCCCCTGCTCCTTCAGTAACACTCCAAATCCTGATGAGATGTTCTTGTACTTTACAGGATCAATCTGAAAACAACAACAACAACATAAACAAAGTACTAGTTTTGTTCCTTCTTATTCCAATTCAAGCATATGGTATGATTTGAAGGGAAAAAAATAGATACTACATAACCAGACTGAATATTGTGATTGCTGTGAAATTTAAAAAATCTTAATTTTAACAAGAAAGGTGAAGCGGGTCATACTCGTATGGAAAGATTGGCATAACATAATCACGGGATATTCACATACGTCTTCACACTAGAGATGTGTGCTTATAAATCCATGTTTCTCATATATATTTTTCAAGAAGAGTATTATATTTTGTTGTGCATATTATTCACTTTGAACTTAAATCTTTATGGATCTAGTTTTGGTCATCACTTAAAGGGCTTCTTACCAATGGAAACTTTTTGTGTACTTATAAACTAATGTCTCTTCTTTTGTTCTAACGATGCGAATCTGTATTTATATCTCAATACATTGATCATACAATTGATAAAGTACGGCACTGGAATTTGGATTTTCTATCTACTTTGTGTGAAAAGGAAAAAACTTAGGAATAAAAATTCTAGCTATATATTGCACAATTTTGAAGATGTAAATCCTGGAGAATTAGGGTAGCATAATGTTGAGAAAACAGTTCATCTGAAACACCATTCCAAGAACTTTTTTGTTCTCGAATCCCAAGATGTTTCAACCTTTGTAGAGAGACTAAAGACCTGACACTTGTTGGTACCATCAAGCTAGAGGGCTTTAAACCTACTTCTGTTATTGTTATTATTCGTGAGGCTCAAATACGTGACACTATACCAAAAATAGGTGAGGTCCGCTACATGGATCATATGATCACTTATATAACAGTTCAATAATAGGTGACTTAATAAGTCTAGTTTTGACATCATATTAAGAAAGTGAGATTATGCCTAATTAAAATTTACAAAATTAGATTGTAAGGTGAGGATTGCACCTCACTTATATATACTATTTTAGGCATATCTTTATTTGATGTGAGATTTCCAACACTTACCAACATTGATGTTATCATCGATGGCACCATTTGAAACACCATTCATATGATATGATAGACAAAACAGTTGAATGAAAGAGAGGAATGGAAAGGGAAGAAAAGAACCTGCATGTTGCACTTGACAAGATCGAGAGGAGTGACAGCCATGTGGGTAAGGCCACAGCTGAAGACGCCACCAGCACTGCATGCCGCATAGTAAGAAGGAGAAAACATGCGGATTCCCTCTTTGGGTGAAAGGATCATAGGACTCTTGCTCCCTCCCTGTGGCAATGATGACGATGAATGTGATGCAATGGATGATGGTGGCAACCCATGATTGGTGTTATTCAAATGGGACAGTGTTTTTGATGAGTATAAGAATCCAGGGACAAGAGAGTGGCGAGATTGGTCGGAGGGAGCCATTGAGAATCGACAAGAGTATATTTTTTTTTTGAGTGTTAATATGTTTATGTCAATAGCTAACAGAAGTGGAAAATTGAATTCATGTTATTGTTTGAGTGGAAGAAATGATGGGCGAAAAAATGGGAGGGTTTGTGGTTAGGAAGTGTGTGTGAAGGGAGAGAAAAAGATGAAGAAAATGAAGAAGAAAACATGAATGGACGCGTGATCTTGTCCATAATTTCCGTTGGCCTTTGACTCTGTAATGCCCTTCGTTTTTCATGTGCATGCACGACCTTCACTCTTGCCTGTTATTAGTAACAAAATAACGATCACTTACTATATATGTTAATCTATCAATGTTTGTTGCTTGGAGTGTACAAGCTCGTTTATTCTTGAGTGAAGTTTTAGTTTGAGTTTTGTATGCCAAGAAAATAAGTGTTCATAGAATTTTATACCTTTGCTATCTCATCGATGTGTTTTTTTTTTTTTAGCTTTTTAAATAGTAGATATTAAGTTAAATAACTAATTAAATAAATATTTATTCAATAAATAGTTATCACATGACAACTTATGATATAAGCACTTTAATAAACCATTTATGTTTGAATACACATTTTAAAAACAATTACATAAATTAAGGATTTTGAATACATCACCTTTTTTTTTTATTGAGAAGAATACATTATCACCTAAGAACTTATTCTAATTAAAAAAAAAAAAAAAGAGTAAAGAACGAGAACATAATTAAAAATTAACATTACATGACATGAAAATAGATGAGGTTCCTTTGATAAAGTCATCATTTAGCTTATATAAGACCCAAGTCAAGTTAGATTTTTTTAGAAAATAAATCAAGTTAAGATGCAAGAATTTTATTAAAGTCTATTTAGTTAGAAATGTCACACTCTAAGTCAATCAAAACGTCTTTTGACCTTATAAGACCAATATATCTATGTAAACATAAATAAATATTTGTTATCGTTATTATTATATTAAATTTGTTAGAATGAACTAAAAAGATATTTATCTATCTTTTTTAAATGTTAAGCATGTTGATCTATATTAAACTCAAACTTTTTAGTTTATTAAAAAAATTATACTCTATTTAAATTAATGTAAAATATGTTTTTAAATAAGTTATTTTGAATTTCATATTTCACCTTTAAAATATTTTTAAAACATATAAATAAATTGAACTTACACTCAATTCGTATAAAGGTTAACATACGTATTTTACTTCTATTTTGATATGTTAAATTATCATAAAATAAGTCTTTAAACAAATTTATAGATCAGGTTAACTTTTATATAAGCTATTTCAAGTCTTTTAAAAATGATTTATGATAAGCAAATAGGTGAAATTTTAGTCATATCTTTTTAACCAAGACTAGATTATGACACCATGAATTTAAGTATAGAAAATAAAACATATAAAGACTTTTTTTAATAATA